TGTACATATTTGATGTATAAATGTATGAGTGAGCGCCTCGGTGAGAAAATAAAATAAAATGCTCTTTACAATGTAAATATGTTTCTGCGCTCATACAGACATACATATGTGCGTACAGAGAACTGACAAAGCATTTCGAGTTTTTATATATATACACACACACAAACGTACATACATACATACAAGCATATTAGTTGTAGTTGTCTTCTCACAGCAAGAGACACTATACAAAGAAAAGAATTCACATGGGGAGCACCACGCATACATATGTATGTATATATGTACATACACATACATATGGTATGTACATGCAGCCAATTTCAGATTACGCAAGCTTCGATGTTGTGTGCATACATACATATTTCAAGTTTTCATTTGTATGTTTGTATATGTATACATTTATAGCTTAACTATGCATACACAAATGTATATATGTATGTATGTATAACACACGCACACACAGCTGTGTTTGTGTCTGCTCAGCGTTTGAAAAATCGAGGCACATGTCATTTCCAATTTTATAATTTTATATACATATATGTATATCTGTATGCATTACATTTATACATATGCCTGTAAATACATACGCATGAACTATGCAATTAAGCTGTTCTAAATTAGCAACATGCATAAGTAAACGCCGAACGAGCAACAAAATAAAATAAAATAAAAAATGGCGGCCATAGATGCGCACGCAAAATAAAAATGTTGCTTGTATGTATGAATATATGTACGCATAGCGTCGTTCGTATGTATGTATATACGCAGCTACATATGTATGCCTGTGTGTAGTTCACATATTTGGTTTCTTTCCAAATGTATACATACATATGTGTTCGTGATGTACAAATGTATGTACGTACACGAAAAAACTTGGTAAAATGTATGTACCAATGTTAATACACATGTATGCATTGAGATTCCAACTCGGCCATTGTAAAATTTCCATACTCTCTCATGCGTCTCATATTATATGTATGTATGTATGCTCCAATGTATATACATATGTATATAAATTGAAGTGCGTGTTTGCCAATTAAATTTGTTGTTGGCGGGAAAAAAATCTTTAACTAAATGCTGTGTGACGCTGTGGAGCAAAATAGACTATAAACGCCAGAATAGTTCGTGCAAATATACATACAGACATGTACATGAGTGTGTGCGTGCGTGTATGTGCACTTAAGCTTACCTGTATTTGATGAAAATGTTCCATGATTTAAGACAATCCTGTGCGAATGATTCGTACTGGGGGTTACGGGGAAAAGTTCAAGTTTTTTTATAGCTTAATATGTATATGTATTTTTGCAGGTATGCGTTCTTCTTCTTTAAATTTTTGCACTGCACTCAACACAAACTCAATGGCCAAAATAAGTTGAAAGCCAGTTGCAACTCGCATTCGTTTATTCTATGTACGTATGTACGTTTTATTGATTATTATACATACATATATATATATGTATTTATGACGCAGGAACTAGCAGACGCCACACGGTAATTTGAAAATTTTGTTACCGATTCTTACGGCGAATCAGCGTAACAGCGAACGGAACGATAAACGTAACGTAACGCGAGTTTGGAGTTTGGTGCTTCTTGTGTTGTTATTGTTTGTTTTTAGTTAGTAAAAAATAAACAAACGACGCCACAAACGCAGCTTTATTGCAGTAAATGTGTTTTTGTTGGTATCAATGCGGAAAAGATGAGGTTCGCGCGCCGCTCGCTTGATTGAAAACACACACAGAGAGAGTACCAACAACGAATGCAAAGGCTATTGAATTGAATAGCCGTCTCTGCCTTACTGTGCTTCATAGCCCAGCCTGGCTAGCGCCAGACTTCTGTATGCGTTGAATGCGCAAGTGTGTGAGTTTGTGTGAGTAACTCTGTGTCTGTGTGTGAGAACGGGAGAGAGAGAAAGAGCAGGAGAGAGAGCAAGCAGCCAGCGGCGTGCTCTGAGTACAGTTTACTGAGCACACTTTCTCTCCTGCTGCCCAATGAGTGTTAAGTGTGTGTATGTGTGTGTGTATACACGTGGTGGAGGGAAACAGGCCTTATAACATTTTTGGCTTGTTACTTTTTCATGCAAACATATGTACATACATACACTGTAAGTAAACGTCTTCAAACATATGTACACACACGCAAACATCATACACATGTACCTTAGTTTTAAATGTACATACATATATACAAACAAACCCATGTATGCACTTAAACATACATATATAAATGGTCAGACATGTACATACATATGTATGTATGTATGTATGAATAGGGTAAGTCTTCGATAAATTACTACTTCAATAATTTTACATTTATCTACAAACTATCCATACATCATTAAAACGCACTTAAAAACCAGCCAGATAAGTATGTACATATGTACATTTGGTATACATGTTTGTAAGTAATTATGTAGGTGTCTGTGAATGTACATACGTACATATGTATTTACCTATGCACGTACGTTCAAATGTACATACTTATGCATATGTATGTATATATGTATGCATCCCCATCCCATTTCAATAATACATTCACATTTATTTGAATGTGTGCGTTTGTTTTTCGCCTCAACACAAACACAAAAATGCATGTACATATATTATTGGACATACACTCACAATGATATTCTCGCTACATACACATGTTTCATTTTGCGTTCCTCGTCTGACTGTACTTCAAAACTCTCTCATTTTAAAAAGAGAGAAACATGGTTGGAATAATGCAGCTGTGTGTGAACGTGTTAGTGAGGTCAGAAATACCCAACACACAAATTTTCTTCGATTTTATTTGATCATCACAGGGGTGTTTTTAAATATATGTATGTACATACATATAAACATACATATGTTTTAATTCATGTGCCTGCTGTTTAATGACACACAAAACGTGCTTTAAAATAATAAAAAGTTCAAATATTTACTTCAAGTATTGTAAAAAAAAATTAAAGGTATTTATAAAATATAAATATATTTCATTTATTAATTATAATAAGTCATGTGTACGTAATATAAAAAAAGATTTAAAAAAAATTAAATGGATAGTCCCATTCGATAAACGATTTCGAAATCTGCGATTCGTTGTGAATTCAATGTGCGTCAAATTAGCGGCGGTGAGTTAGCGTCGATTTTTGGTACTTGGTATCGGAAAAGGAATCGGTCACTTTTAAATGCATTTATTTATGTTTTTAAGCACAAAACCAAATAAATTTAAATGCAGAATTGCAATAAATTAAATTATTTACTACCTACATTCATTTATTTTTGAATTTTAATTTATAATATGGGTAAACCAAGGGGTTAAAATATTAGGTTTTCACCATTCCATAAATATCTAAATTTAGGGATGATGGCCCCGAAAACCGCATATACACGATTAAAGCCTATAGTTTCTCCTAGCCAACTGTGAAAATTTGATTAAAATCGTCGGTACCATTTTTAAGATATTTGGAAAAGAGTGCAACAACCCCCAAGTCAGCCCCATATAAAATGACCGCAAAAAATCAACCTTGTTTTCGAGCCCTTATTTCTTAACTCAGAGACAATGGCCCTCAATGCACGGTATACCCTCTTGTAGATACATATTTTAGGAAGCTATAGGCACTAATTTTAAGTAAATGGACGGTACAGATTTTGAGAAAATTAATTAATTGTAAACCAACATCATATAGTTCATTAAAAAGTCTATCGAACTGCTAGTTCCTACGTGAACTGAATCACTGCCTGGCATCAGTGCTGAACAATTTTGTGCAGAACTGAGCGGGAACCAATTCAATTTGAATTATATGTAATCATGAAAAAATGGAAAGGACTCATAGTAAATTAAATTAATAAGTCAAAGCAAATTATATGAGAAGTATTAAGTCATACTTAATAGAGCAGTTTATGGAAAAATTGCATTTTTCCATTTTTTTCTTTACATCCTATGTTAATGCAAAAAAACATGCTGGCAATATTAGATATCATACTGTTAAATGGCAGCCATATTTTAAACTTTATTATTTAATTTCTCCGAAAACGGCCTCAAATGCACGGTAGTTGTGCATATAGAGCACGATTTATCAATCATTTTGCTATTTATTTCATTAAAATCATCGGTACAGATTTTGAGAAATTCTCATTTTTCTATTTCTCTCATAACATCCTATGTTAATGCAAAAAAACATGCTGGCAATATTAGATATCATACTGTTAAATGGCAGCCATATTTTAAACTTTATTATTTAATTTCTCCGAAAACGGCCTCAAATGCACGGTAGTTGTGCATATAGAGCACGATTTATCAATCATTTTGCTATTTATTTCATTAAAATCATCGGTACAGATTTTGAGAAATTCTCATTTTTCTATTTCTCTCATAACATCCTATGTTAATGCAAAAAAACATGCTGGCAATATTAGATATCATACTGTTAAATGGCAGCCATATTTTAAACTTTATTATTTAATTTCTCCGAAAACGGCCTCAAATGCACGGTAGTTGTGCATATAGAGCACGATTTATCAATCATTTTGCTATTTATTTCATTAAAATCATCGGTACAGATTTTGAGAAATTCTCATTTTTCTATTTCTCTCATAACATCCTATGTTAATGCAAAAAAACATGCTGGCAATATTAGATATCATACTGTTAAATGGCAGCCATATTTTAAACTTTATTATTTAATTTCTCCGAAAACGGCCTCAAATGCACGGTAGTTGTGCATATAGAGCACGATTTATCAATCATTTTGCTATTTATTTCATTAAAATCATCGGTACAGATTTTGAGAAATTCTCATTTTTCTATTTCTCTCATAACATCCTATGTTAATGCAAAAAAACATGCTGGCAATATTAGATATCATACTGTTAAATGGCAGCCATATTTTAAACTTTATTATTTAATTTCTCCGAAAACGGCCTCAAATGCACGGTAGTTGTGCATATAGAGCACGATTTATCAATCATTTTGCTATTTATTTCATTAAAATCATCGGTACAGATTTTGAGAAATTCTCATTTTTCTATTTCTCTCATAACATCCTATGTTAATGCAAAAAAACATGCTGGCAATATTAGATATCATACTGTTAAATGGCAGCCATATTTTAAACTTTATTATTTAATTTCTCCGAAAACGGCCTCAAATGCACGGTAGTTGTGCATATAGAGCACGATTTATCAATCATTTTGCTATTTATTTCATTAAAATCATCGGTACAGATTTTGAGAAATTCTCATTTTTCTATTTCTCTCATAACATCCTATGTTAATGCAAAAAAACATGCTGGCAATATTAGATATCATACTGTTAAATGGCAGCCATATTTTAAACTTTATTATTTAATTTCTCCGAAAACGGCCTCAAATGCACGGTAGTTGTGCATATAGAGCACGATTTATCAATCATTTTGCTATTTATTTCATTAAAATCATCGGTACAGATTTTGAGAAATTCTCATTTTTCTATTTCTCTCATAACATCCTATGTTAATGCAAAAAAACATGCTGGCAATATTAGATATCATACTGTTAAATGGCAGCCATATTTTAAACTTTATTATTTAATTTCTCCGAAAACGGCCTCAAATGCACGGTAGTTGTGCATATAGAGCACGATTTATCAATCATTTTGCTATTTATTTCATTAAAATCATCGGTACAGATTTTGAGAAATTCTCATTTTTCTATTTCTCTCATAACATCCTATGTTAATGCAAAAAAACATGCTGGCAATATTAGATATCATACTGTTAAATGGCAGCCATATTTTAAACTTTATTATTTAATTTCTCCGAAAACGGCCTCAAATGCACGGTAGTTGTGCATATAGAGCACGATTTATCAATCATTTTGCTATTTATTTCATTAAAATCATCGGTACAGATTTTGAGAAATTCTCATTTTTCTATTTCTCTCATAACATCCTATGTTAATGCAAAAAAACATGCTGGCAATATTAGATATCATACTGTTAAATGGCAGCCATATTTTAAACTTTATTATTTAATTTCTCCGAAAACGGCCTCAAATGCACGGTAGTTGTGCATATAGAGCACGATTTATCAATCATATATGGCTGCCATTTAACAGTATGATATCTAATATTGCCAGCATGTTTTTTTGCATTAACATAGGATGTTATGAGAGAAATAGAAAAATGAGAATTTCTCAAAATCTGTACCGATGATTTTAATGAAATAAATAGCAAAATGATTGATAAATCGTGCTCTATATGCACAACTACCGTGCATTTGAGGCCGTTTTCGGAGAAATTAAATAATAAAGTTTAAAATATGGCTGCCATTTAACAGTATGATATCTAATATTGCCAGCATGTTTTTTTGCATTAACATAGGATGTTATGAGAGAAATAGAAAAATGAGAATTTCTCAAAATCTGTACCGATGATTTTAATGAAATAAATAGCAAAATGATTGATAAATCGTGCTCTATATGCACAACTACCGTGCATTTGAGGCCGTTTTCGGAGAAATTAAATAATAAAGTTTAAAATATGGCTGCCATTTAACAGTATGATATCTAATATTGCCAGCATGTTTTTTTGCATTAACATAGGATGTTATGAGAGAAATAGAAAAATGAGAATTTCTCAAAATCTGTACCGATGATTTTAATGAAATAAATAGCAAAATGATTGATAAATCGTGCTCTATATGCACAACTACCGTGCATTTGAGGCCGTTTTCGGAGAAATTAAATAATAAAGTTTAAAATATGGCTGCCATTTAACAGTATGATATCTAATATTGCCAGCATGTTTTTTTGCATT